TCCGAGTAGCCGGAATTACAGGCATGCGCTACCACGCCCGGCTGATTTTTTTGATTTATTGTAGAGATGAGGTCTCGCTGCCCAGGCGGGTCTCGAACCCGCGGGCTCAGGCAATCCACTCACCTCAGCCTCCCAAAGGCGCAGGATTACAGGCTGAGCCACCAAGCCCGGCTCAGATATATACTTTTAAAGTGATTTTTTTTTTGAGTTAGAGTCTCACTCTGTTGCCCAGGTTAGAGTGCAATGACACAGTCAGAGCTCACTGCAGGCTGAACCTCCCGGGCTCAAGCAATCCTTCTACTTAAGCCTCCTGAGTAGCTGGGACTACAGAAGTGCGCCACCACGCCTGGCTAATTTTTTGATTTTTTTTGTATAGAGGAGGTCCCACTATGTTGTCTAGGCTAGTCTTGAACTCCAAGGCTCAAGCAATCCTCCCACCTCAGCTTCCCAAAGTGCTGGGATTATAGGTGTAAGCCACTGCGCCTGGCCTAAAGAGATTGTAAAATCCTAGTTCTATCCCTATTTTGACCAAAAGTTACACCTAACAATATGCATATGGATATCTGAAATACTGAAAAAAGCAATGTTCACAAAGAATCCATTATTATAAGAATGAAACCAAGACTTTTCATGTTCCAGAGGTCACCTGGAGCTAGTCAAATACTCCACTGCCCATGGGTCACAGGAAACAACCTCTTTCTACCATTAAAAATTCTAAAACCAGCTGGGCTCGGTGGCTCAGCCTGTAATCCCGCGCCTTGGGAGGCTGAGGTAAGTGGATTGCCTGAGCCCGCGAGTTCGAGACCTGCCCGGGCAACTTGGCAAGACCTCATCTCTACAATACATCAAAAAATCAGCCGGGTGTGGTAGCGCGCACCTGTAATTCAGGCTACTCGGAAGGCTGAGGAGGAAGGATCGCCGGAGCCCAGCAGGTCGAGGCTGCGGTGGCCAGGAGCGGCCACTGGACTCCAGTCTGGGCGACAGAGTGAGACTCCAACTCAAAAAAAACCCAAAAAAACAAAAAAAACTAAAACCCCAGGAAAGGATGATAATGGGTTGAAGGAAGTGAGACTGCAGCAATTACATTTACTAAATGGTTAAGAAGTCAAAGTCAATTCAAAAACAAAGTTTCTACTACAAAGTCCTCTCCTAACCTAGTAAAACAACCTAGAAAGGCCACTCACACCTTGTGAGGTCATTAATATTTAATGAGTAGGTCACTATACTGGCTAAGAAACCCACCACACAGAACGCTTCCGTTTCTTTTAGTCTGTTTTCTTTACTGTGTTTTGTTATGGTACTGTCAGAAAATCAAGGCAAGAACTAGAATCAGTTTCTAGCAAATCAAGTGTTCATCTCAAATTACGTCTATTTCACACTTTATAGCAAGGGTGATGCTACTATGAGAAAAGGTAAAAGTTCTCCAAACAGGTTAGGAAAGATCTTTGTTCATACTTTCTTTTTTTAAAGGCTAAGTAAATTTGCAATTTCTAGTTCATCTTAAAAACCTTACAACTCAACTTATAGAGACACAAATATAAATGTTTTTAGTGCATCCTTGTTTATAATGGCTAAAAATTGGAAACAACCTAAACATCTAACAGTAGGAAATTGGTTAAATTATAATACATCTGGTGTACACATACATGATGAAATTCTATTCAGCCATTAGCAATGATAACAGAGGTGGATATACACTAAAAGAGAAAGCAGTCCTCAACGTCTTTTTTATATCATTTTTAGTTCATACTAAACAGTATGTGTTGTTTATCAGCTGATTTCTAAAATGCTTTTTTTAATGTGTGTGTGTGTGTGTGCATACACACACACCAAAAAATAGTCTGGAAGGAAATATATGCCAAAACATTTAGAACTTAAATATTCTAGTTTATTTTTAATATCTTTATTTCCTAAAGCTTCCCCAAATTTTTTTTTTTTGAGAAATAAAACTGATCACGAGTAAGTGAACTAAAGAAAGCTACTATGAAACCAAGTGATGTCTTCAGTTATTTCTAACTTCAAGACGGAGCCTGAAAAAAAGTACTCATCCTGCCAGTAAGATTTTCAGAACTATTTTGCCTTAAGACCATCTAAAGCTGCTTCAGTTGCAATTCACTTGCACTGAGCAGGCCAATGACAACTTTAAATTATATTAAAAGAGAGCCCCTATTGAATCCAGGTGAATGTACCTTCTGTGTTTACATATAAAACATTTCATATGCTACAATCATCAAATCAGCCGGGTGTGGTAGCGCGTGCCTGTAGTTCTGGCTACTCGGAAGGCTGAGGTGGAAGGATCGCTGGAGCCCAGCAGGTCGAGGCTGGGAACTGCACTCCAGTCTGGGCGACAGAGTGAGACTCCAACTCAAAAAAAAAAAAAAAAAAAAAAAAAGTAAGAGCGATACATTGTTTTCAAAGAAGCTTTGGTTTCTATCTTCTGCGGATCCAAACCAGTCTTCTCACTACTGGGAAGGCCTAGGGGTATCTCAGAATCCACAGATGGATCAGGATTTTTCACATTGAGGGTGAAGTCCACTGGTGGGCAGCAACCAGCATAAGAAGAAAATGCAGTGCCACACAGCAAGAATAATTGCTCTGTGAAGCTTTTTTTCAATTATTCACAAATTTATTTGGTATGTATTGGGTCACAAAATACAATACTTCTATGGGGCAGGGTCACAAAAGTTTGAAACTTATTATCATCTATCTTAACACTGCCAGCCATCAAAGCAGTCTGCTTTATGGAGCAAACCATTATTTACTTTTACTTTTAACCCACAAGGCATAAAACTAAATTTTAAGTCTCTAGCAGTACTTTAAGATATACACAGGAAGCCGGGCTCGGTGGCTCAGCCTGTAATCCTGCGCCTTTGGGAGGCTGAGGTGAGTGGCCTGAGCCCGCGGGCTCGAGACCTGCCTGGGCAGCGAGATCTCATCTCTATAATAAATCAAAAAATCAGCCGGGTGTGGTAACGCATGCCGGTAATTCCGGCTACTCGGAAGGCTGAGGCGGAAAGATCGCCAGAGCCCAACAGGTCGAGGCTGCAGTGGCCGGGAGCGGCCACTGCACTCCAGTCTGGGCGACAGAGTGAGACTTCAACTCAAAAAAAAAAAAGATATACACAGAAGTAAAATCATTTTTGCCTCCTAAAAGCAAAAATCTGAAATAGAAAAAAAAAAAAAAAAAAATATATATATATATATATATATATATATATATATATTCCCGACTTGGTTGAAGCTTTTTAATATCAGGTTGCTTGGAAATAAAAGCCACTACTTGATGAAGGGCTTTGAAAATTGAAATTGTAAGGCTGGGTGCAGTGACCCACACCTATAATCCCAGGGCTTTGGGAGGCTGAGGCAGGAGGACTGCTTGAGGCCATGAGTTCCAAAGCAGCCTGGGCAACACAAGATCCCGTCTCTATTCAAAAAAGAATCCTATTCTTATGACTCTGATTTCTTACAGACTCATCAACAGTTACAGTTACAGAGCTCATTTCCTTTTCTTTGAATTTTCTATTGAGGCTTAGTACTGACATTTGACCAGGTTATTTTCATGACAAATTTATATTATCGATGAAAAAGTGATGATCTGTGAAATAAAAACCCTTGCAAATTCATCAGCAAAAGCAAGATAAAGTTATGTTCAGGAATACTCTCTATAAAAAGTATGCAAAGGCAAGAATCCTGTCTTGAAGATCCATGTGAAGAGGGAAGATTCTAGGTTAGTTTAGGCAATAATAAAATCTACCATTATTTCCTTGTAACTGCAGCCATCTGAGTAAGACCCTGAAGAGAACCGTGATATACTCTATTTTGGAATCACCTATGGGCTTTGTAAAAAGGTGTTCATGCCAGGGTCCCAGTGAAGGACCATGCTGCCAAACAGCAGGGCAGAGGTCATCCTCCAGGTCCAACCACCGTGCAAACAAATGTATATACCCACTGTGTACAAGAAGACATTTCATTAGGGCTGCTTAATCGCCCAATAAATATCTACTGAGCTTGATCAAGAAAATGGTGGCAATACATGCACTGATAATGACGGTACACAGCTACTGCAGCGACAGGAATCCAGCAATGGACGCCAACTAGAATCACAAAAGGCTCCTGGACATGAAAGGTGTCTCAGCGAGGTCCAGAAGGATGAGCAAGATTTTTAACAGGCAGGGGATGACAAACTGGAGCAACAAAAGCAAAGTCAGCGAAGAAGGGTGGCGGGGCCCACAGCAGGGGGAGTTGGGAGGGAGAAACGATTCACAGGAGTCCTGGCTGGGTCACCAAGGACCACGAAGTCTGCAGGGACAGGTTCTGAGCATGTCAGACCTGCCCGGTCTACGCAGTGGAGAGTCGAGGGATCTGTGTGAGCGGAACAAGGCCAGGGAGCCTGAGGGCAGAGCCCTCCAGGGAAATTTCCTGATCCACCGACAGGAAGGAAGGAAGGCCGGCCGGCCGGCCAGGGAGGGCCGCGGACATGTCAAGGAAGGAGGGAATGCGCCACACCTCGGAGGGGAACGGAGGGGATTCCAGGAGATGAAGACAGCCCTCTTCCTCGGAGACCGTGCTGACACACGGCAGGGATCAGCACAAGTTTGCTGAATGGAAAGATCCCTGGCGAGCCTTGCAACGAGTCTGAGGGAGGTCGAGGAGGAAAGTGGGACCCAGTGAGGAGAGGAAGGAAGGCCAGTGAAGAAGTGCTGGCCATGGCTAAGAGTACCTGAAGGCATCAGGGCGCAGGGAGAGAGGGAAGGCACGCGAGGCTGAGCGGAAAGTGAAACGAGCACATCCGCCGGCGAGTACAAGAACCAGGGGATAGGAGAACCCGAAGCGATGAAGCAGCCGACTGGCCAAAGCTTCCAGGAGTCTTGAGAATGCAGAGCAGAAGGCGGAGGGACGTGCCATGCTCTTTGGCAGGAGGGACAGATATATATCAACTGAAGCAGAGGGCAGGGGAGCTTAAGTTCACTTTCTGAATGCAAAGGGCTCAAATGATACATCAAAGGCAAAGAACTCCTGGTCCCTTGGCTAGGCCTCCCTTTAATTTTATTTTTCCAGGGTGGGAAGTCATTTTAAAAGACAACCCATTTTAAATCCACAGCAGAAACTAAACAACTCGACAACCCATTTTAAATCCACGGCAGAAACTAAACAACTCTAGACTCTTTCCACAAATAACCTTTGGAAAGCCCCCCCCAGACAGAAATATTAATTACTGAGCCTCTCCGCTTCATAAAAATAGAACTATACGTATATTATTTAGAACCAGATGTTTTCTTAACGAGAAAAACAGATTAATGTATCTTATTTTCTGTCAAGTCCCAGCTTCCTCTCACCTCCATCTCCCCTTTCAATGGTGCTTTCAATTTATGTGAACCTTAAAATAAAAAGGAAATCTCACTCATAATATACACTCCACCCCAGAGTCATAATAGAGTTTATTTTCATTCAAAGGCTGCTGTAGAATCTGGATTAAATGCAAGCAATGATCTCAGCCAAGTCTACCAGAGCATCTAATGTAAAATTCCATGCTTCCAAGGTGTCCAGTAATTTCAGAAAGCTCCAGGTCTACGAATACTGGTGAGACCATAAGATTCTAGATTAATTCAGTGGGTTAATTAAAACTACCTTCTAAATAACCAAGGCAAGAAGGTGCAGGCGATAACTTTTCTATCTTCATGAATAAATAACAGCCTTTCTGTACCTCATTACCCTTGTAAGGTGAAATTGAACCACATAATGTGTTTTCAGTTCCTTCCTAACTGAAATACTCTATTATCGATCACTTCATTTTGTTGTAATTTTCAACAGGCCAAAAAATAATGCCCACCTGTAGAAAAAAATGTGCATTATACTATATGTATCTTCAGTACTTAACAGACTTTAACATTCGATAACAAACTGCTTGGGGTAGCTTAGTATGCTATGAATTAATGTATTTCAAACATTTCAAGGACTTAAACTATGAGCAAACTTTCTTAAAACGCACACTAAAAATCAGACTAACAGGACTGTTCCTCCATTTTGAATAGGTTTTTTTAAGAAGTTGATTTCAGAGTTAATTCGCTACATATACAGCCCTAACAGTTTTCGCAAAATAATCTGCCAATCAATGTGTCTCTTAGGAGGTAACTACTACCCTAAGAAAGATTAAAGATGAGAATGGGCTAGGTGCAGTGGCTCGCACCTGTAATCCCAGCACTTTGGGAAGCTGAGGCAGGGGGAATCACTTGAGGTCAGGAGTTTGAGACCACCCTGGGCAATATGGAAAGACCCTGTCTCTATTCAAATGAAATTTAAAAAATTGAGAATGGGCAAAAGCTAAGAGTTTAAATATCATTTTAAAAAATCACTCTAAATATTCCCATTATCATATAAATTCACACCATTAAAAAAAAAAATCACCTAATGTTCAGCTAATTCTGATCAGTTAAAACAAATGAATTTACAGAATCCTAATTTTATCTTATTTTATTAATTTTTTTTTTTGAGTTGGAATTTCACTCTGTCGCCCCGACAGGAGTGCAGTGGCACGCTCCCAGCCACCGCAGCCTCAACCTGCTGGGCTCCAGTGATCCTCCTGCCTCAGCCTTTCAAGGAGCTGGAACTATAGGCGCATGCTACCACGCCTGGCTCATTTTTTGATTTATTGTAGAGATGAGGTCTCGCCAAGTTGCCCAGGCGGGTCTCGAACCCAAAGCGCGGGATTACAGGCTGAGCCACCGAGCCCGGCTCAGAATCCTAATTTTAAAGACACATGGATTCCCTAGTGCTATTCTTTTATTTGTATTGCTCTCACATTCCCACTAAGTACATCCTTGGGATTTTAGTATTACGGGCATCAACAGTCTTCCCTTCTAGTATTGACGCGAAGAAGGCTGAAGCTGTTCTGGGTAAGTCACCTGTTAATCCCTACATCTTTTCACTCTTTATTTGATGTCACTTCACAATGGTCTAAAAAAATCAAAATGGTCTTGATAATCTATGTTAAAGTTACAAAAAAAAAAAATTGAGGGCCAGACACAGTGACTCATGCCTGTAATCCCAGCACTTTGGGAGGAGGAGGCAAGAGGACTGCTTGAGCCCAGGAGTTTGAGACCAGCTCAGACAACATAGCAAGACTTCATCTCTACAAGAAATTTTAAAAATTAACTAGGTGTGGCGGCACACACCTGTAGTCCCAGCTACCCAAGAGGCTGAGGCAGAAGTATCACCTGAGCCCGGAGTCCAAGCATGCAATGAGCCATGACTGTGCCACTCAACTCTGGCCTGGCCAAAAGAGTGAGACCCCAACTCAAAAACAAAAACCAAAACTGAAGTCTTTGTATTTTTAAAAGGTGTTGCTTTTATTTACTCAGGTAAAAGCACTTTTTATAAGGCATATATACCTATGTCCCAGAAGCCAGATTTACTTGGAAATTTTTAGGGCAATTTGCAAAGATATTAAGACTGAAAACGTTGTTCCATACAATTCAACCCAAAAACACCAGACCCTAAAAATGTAAATTTAACTAAGTTAAATCTAGGTAGTTTCTGCTGCCATCCAAATAACTGCCCAACATCAAAGAATGTCACGGCCTTCACACAGGCTCCGATAGCAAGATACAAACTGAAACATTATTTCACTTCTTGCTCCCACCGAAGAGAAAACTGGGCCTGACATAGCTATCAGCTAGCATGATTCATCTAGAATGGCTTGCTTAAAAAAATAACGGCAATAACCCTATCCTAGTAAATCATATTTCAGTTTAAAAGATCATCATCCTAAGACTTTGAAGTCATTCTGTGTAAGCCACTGGAGCTAAAATTCAAAGTCTCCAGTTCCAGCATCAGAGATTTGGGAAAAACCAAACCAAACCACTAGACCCCTATTTCTTCTTTGCTTTTTTCTTGCTAGAAATCTAAAATTGCTTTCTAACAAATACCATACCATAGCACTTACTTGGAAAAAACATGCTCCAGCTAAAAGATGCGGGGAAGGGAAATTATCCTTCTCTGTCCCTAGGATTCAAGAGAAGCCCAGGACCTAGGTGTCCCTGGACAGATTTAGCAAACACTCTGGAGGACTGTCTTCTCACTGCCACAGTCAGGAGCAGACTGCTCAAGAGGCCCCTCAGGGGTGCCACTCCCTCTCTGCCTCTTACCAGCTGTGTCTTTAGGCAAGTGCTGCAATCTTCCCAACTGAAAGGCGGAGATAATAAAACCTACTAACACGGTAGGAAGAACAATTTATACACACATAAATTAAGGTTTCTTTCTACGTGACTAGTCTGGCAGATCAACTCACATTCTTGAGCTTCACAGTGTCTAGGAAAGAGGCATGCACTATTCTCCATTTGACAGATAAGTGCCATTTACTTGTGGCATAGTTGAACTGAGTTAGTTCCAAGGAAATTCACCATGCTGGCCCTACCTTAGAATTAAATGTTAAAAATTAACATGCAGTAATGTTATTAATAAACTATTTTACTGTATAAATTACTAATGAAATAAAAATGAATTTTCATTTTCTGTTCTATACACAATTGTCAAAAAGCAGCCAAATGCCCCTACACTTGATTTGTTTGTGCTACAAACATAATGATCTATTCCAGTGTGAAATTCTCATTCTGCAGGGCTTAACGTCCACTTGGAAAGGGGTCCCCCGCCTTCTGCTTCTCCAGCTCTCCCTTTGTTCACCTGCCCTGGGTACCTGGAAATACCACCACTGGGAAGCACAGCACAAGAGGCTACTCGGGCAAATGTTCAGGAAGTGAGGCTGAAACTACTGGTTATAACATCTCACTAGTTGATGTGCCAGTGAGTTCAGATGGAAATGACCTGTAAAGACCTTAAATTACAGTGAAGACAATCTAGGCCATCCTTCAGACTAATGATTACAGAGCAGTTCAACAAGTGAACTTCTTTGGACAAGTAAGAACAAGATATATGACCCAGGAGGCTGAATAATAAGATGCTCTTTTCTTCTCATACCAATACACACATTTTAGAATGAGAGCAAAGGTCATTTTCTACAAACAACAATTAAAACAAAACAAAAACAGCCAAGGGAACATAGCAAGACCTTATCTCTACAAAAAAAAAATTTAAAAATTAGCTGAGCATTGGTGGCACATGCCTGTAATCCCAGCTACTCAGAAGGCTGAGGCAGAAGGATCACCTGAGCCCAGGAGGTCCAGGCTGCAGTAAGCCATGATCGTGCCATTGCACTCCCTAGCCTGGAGGAAAAAAAGGCAAAAAAAACCTAATACTAAGGTATCTGTCTTACTTACGAGATCAGAAATGTCTACCTTTTTTGAAAAACATGAAAATTTCTCTTTCTTTTTTTTAACCAAGAGATAAAAGCAATGAAAAGATGATAATTTATATTACTGTTCTCAGTATCAAAATTATAGATACAAGGAAAAAAGGCTAACAAAGACCTACTGAATCACTGAAATGATGTTAACATCATATAGCAGGATTTGTAGACACAAGTAAAGAAATACTGATGCTGATGAAAGTCATCTCTATATACTTTTCAAATGAATAGTCTTATAATTCAAAAGAATAATGGAAACTCAATTACTCTTAGTTTTATCATCAGGTATTCATGGTAGCCTCTAATCTTTGTTTTCTTTTATCACTCAGATTCCCCAATTATTACATTAAACAAAAGCTCAATTACTTTTCTGTTGATAATTTTTGTAAAAAGAAAAATAGCAAATAGGAAAAATTTTGAAGTGAGAAAGAAAGAGCTGGCTGGGAGCAGTGGCTCACACCTATAATCCCAGCACTTAGGGAGGCTGAAGAGAGAGGATTGCTTGAGCCCAGGAATTCGAGAGCAGCCTAAGCAGCATAGCAAGACTTTGTTTCTACACAAAAATAAGAAATAATAATTAGCTGGGTGTGGTGGTGCACGCCTGTAGTCCCAGCTACTGGGGAGGCTGAGATGGAAGGATTGCCTGAGCCCAGGAGGCCGAGGCTGCAGTAAGCTGTGATCTTGCCACTGCACGCCAGCCTGGCCGACAGAATGAGACTCTGACTTAAAAGAAAAGAAAAGAAAAGAAAAGAAAAAGCTACAGAAACTCAAGTCTACACATAGGAGTCTAATCTGCATTTCTTCATTAACTGTCCCTGCAAGAGTTCGACATGAGAGAGTTTCCCCCGTGGGGGAGTTTGGTTGCTGCTAAAGTCTGGATATAGGTCAAATCCTATTATCAGGAACTAATTAAAGCACAAATGATTTTGGTGCGTGCGTGTGAATTCTGCCCTGAGTTGTGAGCTGGGGCTTAGGAATCTCAGCTGTTGAGGTGTTTCTGTGACTGTGACGGCTGTGAAGCGCCAAACCTTGAGGTGCGTAATTCCAGACCAGCATCACTTTGATGGTTGGCTCCCTTTCCCCAGCATAGAGCAGCGCTCCCGCCGCACAGAAAACTCCTCAGGACACAGACTGGAGCGCCCTTTCTGGAAACCAAAAATCCCAGGAAACTTCCCGAGTGCCCCCTCCCCTGCAGCACCACAGGAATTCTTTTCAGAAAACAGAACGAAAAGCAAACACACTTAAAAATGGGATTGTGCACATATATACCTCAAATATTCTGCTTGCTTCAAGTCCTCTTAGAAGACATTTGAATTTAGGCAACAACATGTTTATCTTGAGAACAATTAATGGTCTATAAACTATCAGAAAATACGTTGGTATCAGAAATATAAAAAGAGGGTTCAGAGACTGGCTTTGAAAGGTCCATGAAACTACTGACACACAAATTTGTGTGTGTGTGTGTGTGTGTGTGTGTGTGTGTAAATATGTGCAGACATGTATTGTTTTGTTGAGGAGAGGGTACACAGCTTCCTCAAAGGGGACATGACTCAAAAAATAAAAAGGTTAAGATCACTATAATCAAGTAAGATCACTTTGATCTATTCTTTAAATTAAAAAATTTATTTTAATCACATGGCAGAAACTGGGTTATTTATCTTAAGCAGTGAAAACAACACACTTCCTACCTCTGTGTCCCAGGAATCCTGAAAGACAGGGTTTCTACTACTCCTTTTGGTCTGAGGGGGAAGATGGTTGTCTTCTTCGTTGCCATTCCTTCTCCTTTTCCTGAAATTAAATCACAAGGAGGAAAACAAATCCCAAATTAATCTTTTGGATACTTAAGCTATAAGCCACGACAACATATAAATTTGTCCTCTTGCTCAAGAAACTGTAATTCTCCATACAATATCCCAATAGGTTATAAGTTGGAAGTACACCATCCCTGGGCACCAAGAAAATATAAGACAGCTGCAGTAAGGTCAGGCTGAAATTAGTAGAATTCAATTCTGAAAAGAAGTCTGACAATTTAAAACGTCCATTGGGAATAAAGTAAGAACACAAAGTAGTTAATGACTTAAGCTTTTTCCACCTAATTAAGAGTTTCTATCTACATTCCCTGAAGTTACAATGCCAAGTCACTCAACTCTGCTTTCTTCCACACGACAACATTTAAGATAAGGGTGGCTACCTTTGCCCATCTGTCCTGAAAAACCCTATCAAAGCACCTCTTGGTCACATTGCCTCATTATTCTGGCTACACCAGCTAGCAGTATGACATAACAGTTACTTTACTAGATCGTTACTGGGAGATTATAGCACAAGCTGCTTAAAATGTCCAGATTTAAAGAAAAATCACACATCTTCTCAGACCAGTGTTCGCAGATGTGCAAGAGACAAAATTTGTATGTATTCTATGCAAGGCTGATGCACTGCCAAAGGGACTTCTAAGCTCCAGGTAGAAAACAAATTCACAGAGGTGTAATTTCAAGTCAAAATGCCTGGAACTGTACTGTTGAACATGCAGCCACTAGCCACATGTGGTTATTTACATTTACATGAACTAAAATTAACAATCCAGTTCCTGGGTCACACTAGCCCCAGTTCCAGTGTTCACTGGCCACCTGTAGCTTGTGGCTCTAGCGCACACAGAGCACAGGCCTAGCACTGCCAAAAGTTCTTCTGGACAGCACTCACTCGAGGTTCACATGTACAGGGCAGCAGGATTTATTACAACGAAAACTCTTAAAGGTTCAAATTTCTACAGTTAGTTAAGAGACAAAAGGCAAGTGAGAGGGCTATACAGTTTATGAAAAATATTTAAATCTGGAGGCCACAGTACCTTTGATACAATCACATGCTTTCTATGTGAGTAGGATGGCTTGTGGCAGCAGGCCTTGAAACCTAAAGGTTTTGAATTGAGGTTGAAGAATGGAGAAACTTTAAGCGATCACCCTGAGTTCCACTCCCTATGCTCTGCAATATTCCCAACAGGTATAGCCTTAAACTAGAGCATGGATCCCAGTTCAGGTATGAAATGAGAAAGAGTGACTGTGTGGTTCTGATAAAGCTTTAACCACCCTGCAGTGGGCTATACAATTTATCAAATTCTAAGACTCAGTTGTTTGTAAAATAACTGCTCCCTATCTTTCTCCCAGGAGATCAGATCTTACTTGCATATTACTTTGAAGTACTTGGAGATTAAAAAATAGATGAATAGCAAGTTTTGATAATCATTGAATGGACGTGCTATTATCATAGGTTCGAGCCAATAAACTGCAACTTTCATCCTGACACCATCAGAGAATTTGCGTGGGAGTGTGCTGCAGAGGCAAAGCAATGTCTGAGGAGAAGCCAGTTGACGCCCAAGGAGAAATTCACTGAGTGGCAGTTGTTGGTCCCTGAACTCTCATTTTATCGGTGTGCCAACAGCTTTGGGCTGCTGAGTCACTCTAATCAAACTCATGACTCTGACCAAAATTTGCCACTTCCTCATTTATAATGGGGGATATGGAGCTTTCCAGGGACACGACTATGAATGCCAAGGAGGCTGCATAGCAGCAAGAGTGTAAGAACGAAAACGATGAGCTGGTTTTGCAGATTCCACCTAATCTCTAGGAAAGTCACATAGTATCATAGGAAAGCATTCCGGCCTCATAATCAGTTGATTTCTCAAGGTACCAAAATTATCTCTTTAGCCTGCTGGTGGCCCTCTCCTTTGGATGGCACTAAAATTAAGAATGATCCCAAGTTATTCTTCATTCTCCTTTTTCTAGGCTCTCAGCAGATTCCATCCTTGAAACAGACTTCTTTCAACAACATTGTTCATAATTGGCAAGATTACAGCTTCATGCTTATCTGTATCAGTACAATCAGATTATAGCTTTTGGTATTAATGCCATAGACCACGTCATAATTTTAGCAGGCACCCTATAATTGATTATATTCTCCCAAGGCCACCCAGGTATGGATTATTGTTTAGCATCTGTTACTTCTAAGGATGGCTGATTTCATCACTTTCATCATTTCATTTCTCTCCAACCTTCCTGTCATCCCCTAAAGCAGTGGTCCCCAACCTTTCTGGCATCAGGGACCGGTTTCATGGAAGATAATTTTTCCATGAATGAGAGGGGATGATTCAAGTGCATTACATTTACTGTGCACATCAGTGGCAGCATTCAATTCTCATAAGACCATGCAATCTTAGATCCCTCACATGTCCAGTTCACAACAGGGTTTGTCTCTAATAAGAATCTGATGATCTGGCCAGGCTCAGTGGTTAAGCCTGTAATCCCAGCACTTTGGGAGGCCGAGGCGAGTGGACTGCCTGAGCCCGCGGGTTTGAGACCAGCCCCAGCAACTTGGCGAGAACACATCTCTACAATAAATCAAAATTTAGCTGGGTGTGGTAGCGCACGCCTTTAGTTCTGGATACTTGGAAGGCTGAGGTGAAAGGATCACCGGAGTCCAGCAGGTTGACGCTGGGGAGGCCGTGAGCGTGCCACTGCACTCCAGCCTGGGCAACAGAGTGAGACACCAACTCAAGCAAAAGTAATAATAATATGATGATCTGACAGGAGGCAGAACTCTGGTGGTAATGCTAGTGATGGGGAGCAGCTGTTAATATAGATGAAGCTTCGCTGGCTTGCCACTCACCTCCTGCTGTGCGGCCCCATTCCTAACAGGCCATGGACCCCTGCCCTAGAGAATGAGGCATAGAAATAATCTTTTTTGGGGGGGGAGGGGGGTTTTACTCTGTCACCCAGACAGGAGTACAGTGACAAGTTCACAGCTCACCACAGCACTGACCTCCTAGGCTCAGGTGATCCTTCTGCCTCAGCTTCCTGCATAGCTGGGACTACAGGCATGCACTACCACACCTGGCTAATTAAAAAAAAAAATTTTGTGTGGAGACATGGTCTTGCTTATGTAGATACATGTTGCCTATGCTAGTCCTGAACTCTTGGGCGCAAGCAATCCTCCAGCCTCAGCCTCCCAAAGTGATGGGATTATAGGGGTGCGATATCACGCTCAGCCAAAAAAATCACCTTAAAATTATGAAGACTAGTGATTTTCAAACTTTTAAAAATTTTTTTAAGTAACAACTCTTTTTACTTACAGGGGAAAAAAACCTCCCTCTCTCTATATATAAGATAAATAATCTGTCTCATCACACACCCATCCGTCTACGGTCATGTAGTCCACCATGGGACAGTTTAAAAAAAAAAAAAATCCTGGACCAAGCCTTCATCTTAAAATTGAAGAAACAGTTCCAGGAAGGAGAACTGACTTGGAGACAATGAGATGACTGGAGCTGGCAGAGCTGGTTCATCACACTCCATGAAACACAGGCAAGAAAAGCCTGTCCAAATAAAATAACTTCTTTAAAAGAAGTTTTCAGTATAAACATGTTGAGATTGTTTGTGTTCTAGATAAAAGGAGTCTACTACCAGTATAAACATATTCAGATTACTGTGTACAAGGAACTTTTTTGGTAGGAATTATTTGGACTTTTTCAGATACATGAGACACCCCACGAGAATATCACAAGTATCAACTGGGGTTGGGAAGGAATAATACGGCAGTCAGACCAGGTTTACTAAACCTAAAGATCTTGCTCCTAATTCTGATGGCATGTCTATAATTGGGCCCCCAATTTCAAATTTAGTCCACTCTTCTTTTCTATACAAATAGAGGCTGTATGCCCCATTTGTATGACCCAAATCAATAATCCAAGGAATCCAGTTTGAGGAACTCTGGAACCAAACAACCTCAGGATGCTTTTCAGAACCCCGATCCCATGAAAAAACGACTTCAGCAAAGGGTCCTTGTGAAAAGACTGCCAATTACATGCAGAGTCAATAAAAACAAGAAAAGAATCTAGCACCCTCCACCAAGGCAATCTTATCCATCCTGCCCATTTATGCATGAGACCATAGTGGAATCAAGGAAACAGACATGAACTTAATGAGACCCCAGTAAATCAAAGGAGCTCTCTCAATCTGTTTCCTCATCATAAAAATGAATGTGTTGGACTTGCTGAGTTACAGATTTTCACTTCAGGCTCCACGATAAGTGATTTTTCTACTTTGAAATAAAACGAATCCTCTTCATTCTGGAGTAACTCATCCCAACATTCTCCTCCCCAACTTCTCCCGTGGGAGAATAAGAGGGAGGAGGGAAAAAAAAGTCTCAGCTTGGTCTGGACTCTACATGTCAAGCACAAAAACCCGAACTAGGTCTGCGTCCTGAAGCCAGGCCCTGCCGGGGAGGGAGTTGAGCGCATCGCGATACAAATCCTACCTCCCGCCTTCGGAGCCAAACGGCTCCACATCCAAACAGTTTAGAATCCTGCCTGTCCTTTCTGCCACAGTCAAGAGAGGACTCACAACCCACTTTGATCACCTGCCGGTCTGTGTTCACAACCGTTTAGGGCACAAGCTCCTCGGCCTAACCCGATCCTTCCCTGCCGTGGGGTTCAGCCCAAGCCTTCCGTCTGACCCTGGGGAGCCGGCAGCTCCCCGCCCCGCGCCCTCAGAGAAGTCCTAAGGGGCTCCCTTTCCAAAATCAGACATTTCCCCCATCCCCCCACCCTCCTAAATTTAGGACAGGGAAGCTTTAGGGACAGCGCCTCTCTTCCCGCACCAGCCTGACTTCATTCCAAATAGGAAAAGGCGGAAAGAAAACAAAAAGACGGAGGGGCGGGAGAACTGGACCCGGAAAGTCACCCCTCCAGCTACCCACAGGGACCAGGTGTCCGATCGCTCGGGCATCCCTCTTCTCTCCTCCTGGGCCGCCGAGGACCCCCGATAAAGCCCCGCAGGGTCCGCGCTTGCCCGGACCCCCGCTTCGCGCGCCCCCTCGGCTCCGTCCCCCAGGTCCTCCGGCGAGGGGCTGGAAAGGAAAGGGGTCCGGGTCCCTCACCTGGGGCGGAGGCGCTCGCTCATGGCAGCTGGTGGAGGGGAGCGAGGCGGCGCCGCTCCGCGACGAGAGGGCACGCAGGGGGTCGCGTTTCGGCGGCCGCCACGCCCACCCCCTCGGGCCTTGGCTCTCGCGGCCGCTCGGGTGGACGCAGCCGGCGGCGAGTACCCCTCGGTGGGACCCGTACCACCGCTACTTCCGGCGTCTCCTCCGCGCCCCCCCATGTCGCAGCCGCCGGGGCTCCGCCCTCGTGCGGCTGCGCACTGGCGCGAGCTCGCCGCGCCGACCGGTAACCCCGCCCACAGGAAGAGGCGGGCTCGGAGGGGGAGGAGCGACGGGGAGTTTCTGGGCGAGGGGACCTCTCCGGGGGTGGCCCAGGCGTTCGCCTGTTCGCAGCCACAGGAGGACGGGCGTAAAAGCCAAGCCAGGCTTAAAATCAGTTCAGACTTGCCATGATAACACGATACAAGTATTCGAGTTAAACCTCTGTGGGATAACTCTTTTCAAAAAAATAGGCGAGACCCGTCAGGCAGTGGTGTAGTCGGCCTGCCGCGGGGTCCTGGGGCCGGGGGTGGGGCAGGCGCTGGCGGGCTCCCCCGGGGGGCTCGTCGCGGGGGCTTCCCGGGCTTTCGGAGCTTGAGAGGTGAGGACCGTGATCTGCGGGGAGCCTCCGGGGCGGGGCTGGTTCCACGGCCCACAGGGGGGCGGTACTCGGGCGGGAGGGGAGTGGGTCGGGGCCGGGGCCGGCGGAGGGGCTTCCCGGAGCCGCGGGACGAGCCCCCGGCCCCTCGGCGGGGAAGCCGGACCCAGACCCGGGGCTGCCCGGCGGTCTCCACCCGCTCGGCTGGGAGAGACCGGACGGCTCCGGGAAGAAAGAAGGATGCGGGGAGGCGGGAGGGGCGGCTGCCAGGCGCCGGGAGGAGGGCGGAGACGAGCATCCCCGTGAGCTCCGCGCCGGGCCCGGAAGGAAGGTAACCCCGGCCCCGGGTTTAACTCGCCAGGAACCTCCCGGGGAGCTGCCGAGCAGACGACCCAGTTACTGCGTTTGCGTTTGGCGACACGGACTCGCCGTGTGTGCTGTCGAGTAACCTCTGATCGTGTCTCACACAGGCTGACGTTTCCATTCCATCCTGCCACACTTGGGAACGGCGATCGGGAAAGCATGGGGATCCGGGAGAAACAGCCGCAAAAGTAGTGTCCTCCTGGAGGCGCTCGGGTAAGAAAACTGGCACCCACGTTTAAGACATTACCGTGTCGGCCGGACGCCGTGGCTCAGCCTGTAATCCCAGCACTTGGGGAGGCTGGGGCGAGAGGACTGCCTGAGCCCGGGGTTTGGAGACCAGCCCGGGCAACCTGGCGAGACCTCGTCTCCACAGTAAATCACAGAAATCAGCCGGGCGTGGTGGCATGCGTCTGTAGTTCCACCTACTTGGAAGGCTGAGGCCGAAGAATCGCCGGAGCCCAGCAGGTCGAGGCTGCGGTGACTGTGAGCCTGCCCCTACCCTCCGGAGTGAGACTCTGACACGCACACACAAAAGACATTACGGTCTGAGCGTGGAGAATGTGGAGAGAGCTTTCTGGTAGATCGCACTTAATCAAGTGCAAGACCGAATACGGTGAGGCAGAAGCGTTTCGCAGAAGTCTCATGCCTTCTCCAAAGTGACTAGCCGGCCAGGCACGGTGGCTCAGGCCTGTAATCCCAGTACTCTGGGAGGCTAAGGCGGGAGGATTGCCTGAGGCCAGGAGTTCCAGATCAGCCTAGGCAGCATAGCAATACCTCTTCTCTCCAAAAATAAAAAAAATTAGCCTGGCATAGTGGCGTTCTCCCACAGTCCCAGTTCCGCGGGAGGCTGAGGCGGAAGGATCACCTAAGCTCAGGAGGTCGAGGCTGTTGTGAGCCATGATTGTACCACTGCCCTCCAGCCTGGGAAACAGAGTGAGACCCCGACTCAAATACATACATACATACGTATCTAGCCGAAGGCCCGTGGACTGACTTCAGTTATGTGTGTTTTTGTGATTAAACGGTCCCTAGCTTTCATGTGTGTCAATGTGTACCTCCAAATAGTGTAAGGATAATCACTGTAGTCTGTTAGCAGAAAACAGTTTTTTGATGACTTGATGCAGGATAAAGTGGGTTGGTTGCTGTGATACATGGGTGACAAGATTAGATCTGTTTATTTTGTAAATGGTTTCAAAGTCTCACCTTTTGAATATGTCATAGTCCGAAAATATCCTTAGTCATAGTACTGGATGATGATAATATTTGCATGTTTATGTCGAGAAATCATTCAACAAGTACTGTATGGCCAGGCCAGTGCTAGGTTTTTAGACTACAGCTGTGCACAGACTAGATGTTCCTTGCCCTATAGAACTTTATAGAGAGAATAAGAAATGGAAAAAAGGAAAAAGCTTTCAACTGAGCTTTGGAATTAAATATGTTCTTTTCCTGACTCTAGAGAATAATGGAAGAGATACAAAAGATACATGATATAAATATTTAAAATGTTCACATGGTATATATTTAACAAACATATCAAACTAAAAAAAAGCCAATAATCTATTGTACTGCAAACTATAAGTAAAAAATTTGAGATGATGTCCCCTCCACATATATGTTTATTTGTTACTACAAATGCATTATGTATATATATTTATACACACACACACACACACACACACACACACACACACACGTATAGTATACATGCTTATTACTAATTTGTTATGTGTTTGTAGAGTTTTGTTTCTCAGGCTTAGGTTGGGGGAGTTCTGATATTCTTCTCTTGCACCCCAGTGGATCATCTGTCCGTAACTTTGGAAACCTCTTCTATAGTCAGTAACCTTTGGGACCTATCCTGAGTTTTTCATTCTTTACCACTCTGTCCTTGAATGATGTGTTCAGGGGTTTTTAAACAAGAGTTTAAAGGATTCAACTTTACGATGACCACTGTATACCTAATCCTGAATTGTGCTCCACATCTTTAAAATAAACAAACAAGAGTTTCTTTATACTCACGTGATATCCAGTTGACTTGCTATAACCTTGAATAGCAAACATTTTCTTCTGACAGGAATTTTATACTTCTTTTGACTAACCATTGATTTATTAGACATAAGTCTTTTGGCTTTGATCACTTTCTTGCTAGGGATGTTGAAAAATCTCTTTGTCTTTGATATTGATGGATTCCTTCAAGAAAAATGTAAGATAAGAAGCATAAATAGAACCAGGCCTTTTTTTTTTTTTTTTTTTAATTTTTGAGTCGGAGTCTCACTCCCTAAGCTGGAGTGCAGTGACACACTTACAGCCACCATAGCCTCAATCTGCTGGGCTCAGGTAATCCTTTTGCCTCCACCTTCCAAGTAGCTGGAACAAACAGGTGTGTACCACCTGGCCTGGCTAATGTTTTGATTTATTATAGCGATGAGATCTCACCAAGTTGCCCAGGCTGGTCTCAAAATCCACCTCCCAAAGTGCTGGGATTACAGGCATGAGCCGCTGCACCTGGCAGAACTATTTATTTTTAAAATCAAACCATGTCTTCTATTTTCTACCTCTGTTAGAAAAAAGAATGGATTGAAACAAAGTTTTAAAAATTTCCTTTGACCTTGCTGATTCCAAATGAATATAAAAGATACAACTCATAAGTAAAATATTTGTATTTACTCTACAAACGATATGCTCCTCATAATCTCACATTTACCTTTTTCAGGAAGAGGATGAGTGACACTTCATCTAGAATGGAAGTGTGTCCTTACTGTAAGAAGCCATTTAAACGATTGAAATCCCACTTGCCACACTGTAAGATGACAGGACTGACCAAACCCATTGATGGGAAAGTTTATCCGTTGAAGCCAGCTACCCTCCCACATGCTAAAAAAATGAAAGGGCCAATCAAAGGTTTGATTCAAGCTAAAGGGAGAGAGTTAGATAAAGCAAGTGAGGAAGGAGATGCTGAGATGATAAGGGACAAACCAGAACAGACAGTTAAGTCGATTCCACTGCCAGCTGTTAGTTTAGAAAGAACAAGCACTACAGAGGCAGGTGAAGATATCAAGAACCAAATCCATCTTTCCTTCCAAGTGTTAAAAAATACCAAGCCAAAGGCTGCTTTCCAGGGAGAAACTGTGGCTCAGGTTTATGCATCAGAGAACACCTCTCCTAAAAGAGAGCTTGCCAAAAATGTACCTAAATCAGGGGAAAGTAGTAGTAATCCTTCAGAAATGGAAGCATCTTTACTGGTTGGCTCAATGGACCCTTCTTTGTCAAATCAAGATAGAAAGTACTCCTCAGCTATACCTGATGATGTCCAGACCACCTCTGCTAGTCTGAAATTGGGCAGAAATGATCCCCAAAGAAAGGAGCTTCTAGTAAAATTACTAGATGTGCCTACTGGTGATTATCACAGTGTTCAAAAGAATCTCAGTGATGGAGTTAAAAGAGTAAGGTCATCATTATCAAGCAATGAGAGAGATTCTAAAGGCAGGGATCGCTTCTCAGGAGTTTCTACTGATGTTAGAGACACCGAGTCTCAGGAAAAAAACACAGACTCACTAATTTTAAGCCTTAAAATCAGCTCATTGGATAAAATCCAAGTAATGGAGAACCAAAAGAAAGGACTTAGCCTTGGAGTAGAGACATGTAGAGGCAAAGGAAACGCAGAGAAAAATGTGTTTGTGAAAGAAAAACAGGAATGGCCTGCCATGAGTGATGGCCCTGAGAACTTCAGAACTGCGGATTCAGCCACAGAGAAGAAATTTCAAGATGAAGGATCACATTTAAATTTGTTCATTTCAAGGGAGGCAGCTGATAACGAATTTCTTCCTGTGTCACAGTCAAGGAGTCAAAATCTTGCCTCTCTAGCTACAGAATTTTTTCAAGAGGAGAAAGCAGAAGCATTCAGTCATCAGGTCCCTGAGGTAAAGGCATTAATGGAGCAGAAGAGACAGGTTTCTCTGGAGCCTGAATCTGGTGGTCACGTCCCAGCATTGCACGCTGGCTGCCAGTGCCCTCTTCGTTCAGCCCAGCACCACACTGCTCATGCTGCAGCTGCTGACAGAAAGACCCTTCCCAGTTCCATGGGCCTGGAGTGGTTTCCAGAGCTCTATCCTGGTTATCTCAGGCTGGGGGTGTTGCCAGTGAAGCCTCCGTGTTGGGGTGGAATGGCCCAGAAGCCGCAGCTCATCGGTCCCCAGGGGGGGCGACTCTCGCAAGGTAAACCCTCTCATTTTAGTGTATTTTATTTTATTTATTTATTTATTTATTTTTGAGTTGGAGTCTCACCCAGACAGGAGTGCAGTGGCCATTCTCGGCCACCTCAGCCTCGACCTGCTGGGCTCTGCTGATCTTTCCACCTCAGCCTTCCAAGTAGCTGGAACTACCACGCCCGGCTAATTTTTGATTTATTATAGAGATGAGGTCTCGCCAAGTTGCCCGGGCAGGTCTTGAACCCTCGGGCCCAGGCAATCCACTCACTTCAGCCACCCAAAGGCACGGGATTACAGGCTGAGCCACTGAGCTCGGCAAACCTCATTTGATTGATTGATTTATTTATTGTTATTTTTGTTTTGTTTTGTTTTTTTGAGTTGGAGTCTCACTCTGTCGCTCAGACTGGAGTGCAGTGGCCGCTCCCGGCCACCGCAGCCTCGCCTGCTGGGCTCCGGCGATCCTTCCACCTCAGCCTTCCAAGTAGCCAGAAGTACAGGCATGTGCTACCATGCCCGGCTGATTTTTTGATTTTATTGTAGAGATGAGGTCTCGCCTGCGCAGGCGGGTCTCGAACCCGCGGGCTCAGGCAATCCACTCACCTCGGCCTCCCAAAGGCGCGGGATTACAGGCTGAGCCACCGAGCCCGGCAAACCTGCTCATTTTAAAGGGCCATCTAAAGTGCTCTGTGCCTTTTGAATTTATAAGGGCCGGAATGCTAATATTTTCATTCATTTAGCTTATTTTGACCTGGGTATTCCAGTGCCCGGCCCTTGTAATTGTTCTTGTTCCAGGGGTCAGTAGCAGTGTTTTAACGCTCTTTCTTTCCCTCCACCAAGAGTTGAAGGTTGGGCTAGAGCAGGTTGGTAGTATTGACAGCAGTTGTGTTTCTACATCGGGAGGAGGCATAGCCCGTAGAAATTGGATGGGTATTCAAGCTGAACAGACTCAAAAAAACCAGGAAGCCTTCAAAATACACCTAAATAGAACAAGTGCTGTGTTCAGAGTTCAACCAGGACCACATTTTGTAGGAAATGGGTTCTAGGTTGATGCTTAAATGCAACGTCTTGGAGTTTAGAGCAGCGAAGAAGGTTCAAGCAGAGCTGGTTTTGGAGTTGGTGACAGGACACAGTTAAAACTGGTCAAGTAAGAAGGGCAGGCAGAGTGGAGCGAGTGGTGGCGGTCGAGGCTCAAGAGGTGGACAGTGAAGGTCAAGGATGAGGGAAGGGGGCTGCGGCAGAGACTAAAGCTTTAGGGATCTACGCACTGCAAGTAGACAAGGACCCAAGAGTAGAGCCACAGACTGAGCCTCGAGACACGAGCCTGGGTAAGAAGGACTGGGGGGGAAAGGCTGGATGTTGACACTGATCTTGACTATGAGTCCAGCTCTTCGGAAGCTTCCCAGTGCTCCTTGCTCATGGCAGGAATAGGTTAACAAGAAGGTAGACTGAGGCCCGAGCACGAGCCAGGAGGTTCCTGAAGGTCATTTCGCGTAGCCTCACTTTTCTCTGCTGAGCTTCATCTTGGTTATTGGACTGCCTCTCGGGTTAAAATCCATAAAGTTTCTTAAGGTTTTCTAGGGGCAGATTAGCATAAAGTGAAGTAGCATTGTCTCTCTTGTGTAGTGATCGCTGGTGCTTTCAGGCTTATTTTGACAGGAGACCTGTGACAACTCAGAATGGGTTTGCACCTGAAAAACTGATATTATCTCTTCCGGAAGGGAGATGGTTTTTCCCTCTCTGGTATATTCTGCAAATGATCGCATAGTCACTAAACCCCTATTTGTCTGGTCTCAAAATGAATGTGTATTAAATAAAGAGCATTGCTAGCCAGAACTACATTTTCTTTTTTTTTTTTTGAGTTGGAGTCTCACTCCATCGCCCAGGCTGGAGTGAAGTGGCACGCTCACGGCCACCCCTGCTGGGCTCTGGCGATCCTTCCACCTCAGTCTTCCAAGTAGCTGGAACTAGAGGCATGCTACCATGCCTGGCTAATTTTTATTTATTTGTTGTAGAGATGAGGTCTTGCCAAGTTGCCTGGGCTGGTCTTGAGCCTGCGGTCTCAGGCAATCCACTCGCCTCGGCCTCCCAAAGTGCTGGGATTATACGCTGAGCCACCGAGCCTGGTCTACATTTTCTTTATAGGTACAAGTTTTTCTACAAACAGACCTAACATCTTGACCTTTTAGTACAAAACTGTAGTCTCAAGGTCAAGCTGCTTCTCCATAATAAACACAGACTTAATGATATTAACATTTGTGTTGCTCTGTGGTTTTCAGAGAGCTTCCATCTGTGTTTTCTTATTTGGGCCACACAGCTCTGAGGAGCAGGCAAAATGATTTTATCTCTGTTTTGCAGATGCTGAAACAGGCACAGAGAGGATAAGTGATTTGTCCAAGGTCATATTGCCCATAAATGGTGAGATGAAAGTAGAACCCAGGCTCTGGGCCTAGTTTAATCCTCTCCATTAAACTGTATGGTAGAAAATATACCATAACTAGAAACAGTGTTCACTGTCTCTCCATACTTTCTTTGTGTTTTTCCTTGCCATATACACACACTCAGCACCCCATGACAAATCTCTCTAGTAAGTTGAAGGACTTATTTTCTGCACTGTCTTTTGTAGTGCTAAGGAGTGTCTGATACATCCACTTTACATGAGAAAAGGGAGGGAACTAGCATGTATCAGTGGTGACTGTGACTGTGTCATTGTGCTGGATACATTACATATTATCTCATTTAGTCCTCATAACAGCGTTGAAGTGATATCACTGTCCCACTCTCTTATACACAAGAGCCTCAGACATCTTAAGTGACTTGCGACAAGTGAGAGTCAGGATTGAAATCCAGGTCTAAGCCGGGCTCAGTGACTCAGCCTGTAATCCCACGCCTTTGAGAGGCTGAGGTGAGTGGATTGCCTGAGCCCGTGGGTTCGAGA